GGTCAGTTAATGATTTAGTCAAAGTACGAAATATAAGGTCAAAGTATGAAATAAAAAGTCAAAGTATGAAATAAAATGTCAAAGTACGAAATATAATGTCAAAGTATGAAATAAAAAGTCAAAGTATGAAATATAAGGTAAAAGTATGAAATAAAAGTCAAAGTATGAAATAAAAGTCAAAGTACGAAACATAAGGTCAAAGTTTGAAACATAAAGTCAAAGTTTGAAATATAAGGTCAAATTATAAAGAAATACAATAAAGCAAACTTTCTTTCACATTTTGTTCAGAAAAGACAAACAGATCAGGTGGTGGGTTTCTCCAAGACGAAATCTCTGGAATTCTACAGGGTTTTTTAATAAACACCGTCACCACCACCATCTGTTGTCTTTAAAAGTACGAACAAATGTACATAACAAAATATTATGGAATTTTCTAATCTTAAAAACTCTGATACTAGCTTATAAACATTAAATTTGTAAACAGATATCTAACATTGGAAGGGAGTTAATTAAGGACTACATCCCAGCATTTTGAGTTAATTAAGGACTACATCCATAGCTTATAAACAGTAACCTTGTAAACAGATATCTAACATCAGAAGGGAGTTAATTAAGGACTACATCCATATCTTACAAACAGTAAATTTGTAAACAGATATCTAACATTGGAAGGGAGTTAATTAAGGACTACATCCCAGCACTTTGAGTTAATTAAGGACTACATCCATATCTTATAAACAGTAAATTTGTAAACAGATATCTAACATTGGAAGGGAGTTAATTAAGGACTACATCCCAGCACTTTGAGTTAATTAAGGACTACATCCCAGCACTTTGAATGGGTTGATTATAACGAACGATAAAGTTTCAACAAATCGAGTCTTATCAACATGGGGAAATGTTGTTCGGATAATTACTGAAGAAAGACAACTTTATTAAAAGTACGAACCATACATCGTTTGGAAGTTTATATTCAGGAAAACTGTTTGCAACTTTCAGCGAGTACAGAACTGATAAATTATTGATCTGACGCTAACTGTTATAACAACATACTGCAATCTGCAAAGTTCTGTTCATATATATATATACCTGAACCGAGACTGCTCCTGTCGTCTGATTTTGTCATAGCTTCCTTCAGAAAGACGTGCTCTAGTGGGAGATTGAAGAAACATGCAGAGTTGACCACTGCTACTGTCCCCTGTGGTATTTCTGTTTCCAGAGTGACCTTGACACTTCTCAACAGGCATAGCAACATTGCCTAACAGAAAGAACAGTGGAATGGAAGTTCACACAGATAATCATTAACTGACCAAGTACACACCAGATAATCATTAACTGACCAAGTACACACCAGATAATCATTAACTGACCAAGTACACACCAGATTTTATTGCATACTTTGACATTATATTTCATACTTTGACCTTATATTTCATACTTTGACTTTATATTTCGTACTTTGACCTTATATTTCATACTTTGATTTTATATTTCGTACTTTGACCTAATATTTCATACTTTGGCCTTCAGTAAAGTTTAATTTTAATAACAATTCTCTGCACCGATATCATTATCTTTACACTTATAAGACGTTACAGGAAAGTATGAAAGTTTATGTAGTCAAACGTAAATGACGTCATGCAGAAATAAATATATTTTTAGAATTCAAGGCCATATTGCAGAATTGAAAAACTCTTACATTCGGCTCATACATATATGTATGTTTGGTGGCACACAATTTCACAAATCAATTAGCTTTAAAAAGTATTTTATCATCTAAAACAAGCGCATTTAAACACTCAAGATTTGCCTGTGACTCGTACTAATGACGTCATATATATTCCATCTGTTTGTCTAAAGAATACCACTGATTTTTGTTTTTTGAACAACATTGGCTACAAATAACCTTGACCCACAGCACGAGGACGTTATACATGTCAACACATAACCTTGACCCATAGAACGAGGACGTTATACATGTCAACACGTAACCTTGACCCACAGAACGAGGACGTTATACATGTCAACACGTAACCTTGACCCACAGCACGAGGACTTATAACATGTCGACACGTAACCTTGACCCACAGCATCAGGACATTATGTATGTCGACACGTAACCATGACCCACAGCATGAAAACATTATACCTGTTGATACCTAACCCTAAACCTGATCCAAACATGAAGACATTGTGCATATCGACACGTAACCCTGACCCACAGCATCATAACACCATACATGTTGACACGTAACCCTGATCCACAGCATGATAACATTACTCATGTCAGAACGTAACCCAGACCCACAGCACGAGGACATTGTACATGTCGACATGTAACCCTGGTTTGGTTTGCTTTTAATTTTACGCAAAGCTACACGAGGGCTATATGCACTAACCGTCCCTAATTTAGCAGTGTAAGACTAGAGGGAAGGTAGCTAGTCATCACCACCCACCAATAATTCGTGGGCTACTTTTTACCAACGAACAGTGGGATTGACATTCACATTATAATGCCCCCACGGATGAAAGGGCGAGCATGTTTGGTGGGACGGGGTTTTGAGCCCGTGAC